ACGAACGAGAAAACAAAGTCAGAAAAAAAAAGACATGGCACAAATAAAGGACCTGAATGCTCACGAACGACCTCCGGAGGCTGTCAAGCAACGCTACAAGCAATACCAAAAGTCCACGCTCACAGATATAAACTCGGATGGTAGCATTCTGGATCTTCAGGCGCTAGATGCTGACCGGCTGCCGGAGGATGTTTCAGTCACGCATTGGATCTCCGGCAAGGATCTTCGGCCTGTATTCGATGAATTTCTGGGGACAAGCAAGGATGGTGCGGAGGGATCCCTGAATGCGAAAGATATCCCTGTCTTCTCTCATCGCTCTGTGACCGGTCAGCATTATACACCACTATCTAGCGCTTGTTTTCTGTTTCTCTCCCTTTCTTTCTTTCTTTCCTTCCTCGGTCTACCCAGTAGGACAGGAAAGGGGAGGGAGAAAGAAGACTTCCCCCAAAAGCATACATTGTAGAAACGAAGAAAAGAACAATCCTGGTCTCCTAACAGGCACATGTAGGTCTCCAAATGATTCCCTCCCTCCTCCCACCGGCCGTACAATTAGAACTCCTCTCGCGGCTCTTCCACCGAGACCTATCCAACCCAGGACACAAGACCAACCTCCACCTGCACTACGAGCTCACGTACCCCAGCGCTGGGGATGCAGCAGCAGCAGCAGCAGCAACAACAACAACTACCTCGACGACCGATTCCAGCGTAGTAGACCCCGGGCCCCCTCCCCCACCCTCCTTCTTTGCCGACGACCCAGCGCGAGCCATCTACCCGAAAGACCCCAGCGTGCACAAGCCACTCACCGTGCAGAGCATCCTCAACAAGAAACTGCGATGGGTGACGCTGGGCGGTCAGTACGACTGGACCGCCAAGGTGTATCCGGCCGAGCGGCCGCCGGCGTTCCCGCCGGACATCGCGAAGCTGCTGCACACCATGTTCCCGGCGACCGAGGCGCAGGCAGCGATCCTGAACGTGTATTCGCCCGGCGATACGCTCAGCGCCCACCGCGACGTCAGCGAGGAGTGCGATGCCGGCCTGATCAGTATCAGTTTCGGCTGCGACGGCTTGTTCCTGATCGGCCATGATGATGGCGCCGGCTGCGAGATCGTCCGGCTGCGCTCCGGTGATGCGGTGTACATGGACGGCACGTCCAGGTTCGCCTGGCATGCCGTGCCCAAGATCGTGCCGGGGACGTGTCCCGCCTGGCTCGCGGAGTGGCCTGGCGCGGCGGATGGTTCGGATGCCACCACTCAGTATGAGAAGTGGAAGGGGTGGATGGAGGGCAAACGAGTCAATCTGAATGTTCGGCAGATGAGCCTCTCGGAGCCTCGTCCGTGATGGCGGCGATGAGATGCGAGGAAGTCTGCTCGGTTCATGACACCTGGCGTATGTTGCATGTGCTGGTCCGCAGACTATGCAGTTGTGGCGGCTGGTGAGCCCAGTCCAAGTTGACAAGTGTGCACGTCACACAAAACCCTACCGTGGGCTTGCATACCTCTGCCTCGAAGAGTGCTCATAGGGGGTTCGACCGAATGCATTCCCAACGCATTGGAAACACTCCCATCGTTCCGTCTCCGGAGGGGCGGCCCATTCGCATTCGCTCTTCCCCTTGTCCAAGCAACCTACCAATAAAGCAGACAATAAACCACAGGCGGAAGACCCCTGCGACAGTATCTGCAGATACTTCAACAATGTACAGCCGATTGAAGCCTGTCGGGCGATCATCGCTTGCAGCTTATACATACTCAGACAGCACATAGCATTTCCCCATTCCTGTACATAGAAGCTTAAGTCTTTAATCCAAACAGTCTAACCTAATTAGTAGCAACGAGATTAAAAGTAACATAAGTAGATAAAAGAATTTTTTCGCAATCGGTTTCGGTGCCTACCACCCCTTCAAGGGTGTCAATCTGACCCGCACCCCGTCCCGCGGACTTACAGTCGCACCCTCGCGGAGCTCGAGCTCAGCGTCCGGATTCTCCAACTCAAACTTGAAACGACCGACGAAGGCGGCAAGCATACATGCCAACTCGGATTTCGCGAAGCCCTGCCCAATGCAACTCCGGGGCCCGTGCAGGAACGTCAAGAAGGCGTAGTTACTGGTGGCCCCGCCGGTATTGGCCATCCCGGGTCCCAGCCAGCGCTCGGGGTCGAATTTATCGGCGTCCGAGCCCCACAGCTCCTTGAGGTGGTTGATTATCGCGGGGAACAGGAAAATGAGCGTGCCTTTGGGAATGGACTGGCCGACGAGAGAGGTGTCATGGTTTGCCACGCGGATGGTCACCGGGGCGGAGGGATGGAAGCGGAACACCTCGTTGCAGACGGCGTGCAGGTAGGGCAGATTGTCGAGGACCTCGGCTGAGACAGACTCTGGATTCTCGACGGAGATGGAGGGTAGGTTGGCGCGGATCTCTTCTCGGAGGCGGGTTTGCACGTCCGGGTACTTGCACAGTGCGTAGACGCACCACTGGAGGGCGGTCGAGGTGGTTTCGTGGCCGGCCGCGAGGAAGGTCATCATTTGGTCGACCAGCTCCTCATCTGTAAAGCTGCCGCTCTCGAGTGCTACGGACATGATATCGACCCCGTCCTTCGCGTTGCTGGCTTGCTCGTGGTCCCGTAGGTCCTTCGCCTCACGGAGCATCTGCAGTGCGACAGCGCGGATATACTCAGCCCCCTCGCGGATATACTTGTTCCTCTTCAAGGGCAGTTTGTGGACCCATGTTGGTACTCCCATCACGAGGCCCAGAAGGAAAAGACCCAGCTCCAGTTTGGACGGCGGCGCACCGTTGATCCTACCGTACTGTCTGGCCAGCTCATTGGTGGGATCGCGCAGGGAGTTGAAGTCGCGGTTCATTCCGGCAAGACCGATGATGTCGAGTGTGGCTCGACTTGACCAGGTTGCCACGCGAATAACGTTGTCGGAAGAATCATTCTCACGCGCTCGTAGATCATCTTCGATGCATTGCACCATCTCTATGCTTTTCGACCAGAAGATCGGATACAGGTTCTTGATATGACGGTAGGAAAAAGCCGGCATCAGATTCTTTCTTTGGTGCTGTTTTCAGTCAGCTGGGAAAGGACATGTGATTTCTGCCCTTGTTGTGACACTTGCCTTGTGCTCGGCACCTTCTACCAACAGCACCCCCTTTTGGCCGGTGAGGCGTCCCAGAGACTCCCGTACCAAGGCTGGTTTCTCGAAGTCATAGACCTTGGTCACCAAAATCTCACTCAGTCCCTTGGGGCTGGTCACGATCAACCGCTCCAAGTTGCCAGTCATATAGTAGCGGATCAGACCATCATTTGGGATTTCTTCTACCCATTTAGCCAGTCGCTTCCAGTCATGCCTCAGAATCAGAGTGCTAGAATTGCCACGAAGCCATGATCGGCCCTAGTGGAATATGTGAGACCGTGTTCCATTTGATGAGAGTGTACACACGGAAATGCTGAGACACTCACGGACGGGCTCGGAATCTGCTTCAGAGGTGTCAAAAACTCCGGATAGAGAAATACTCGGTACACAATTCTGCCAAGTGTGGCCAAGGCAGACAGGTAGAAAAATGTTTGCCACGTCGCTTTCAAGTAGGCATATGCAGCAAAGGCGATGTAGACCGGTGTCCATGGTATGCCAGCCATTCTGCCAAGAATGCTGGAGGAATGGCTTTGTCCAGTTGCTGAAGAAGGTGACTTAGTACCAGATGAGTTGGCAGACTATTAGTTATATAGAACGTTGTGAACGGCCAACTAGTGGTAGCGTTGCGCTGTTTGACGAGTGTCAGATATAAGTATCATGATGATCAGTGAGAAGGGCTATTTATAACATGGCATCGATGGAGAGACACCCGGTGGGAATGACATCCTTTCAGAAATGATTGGGCGAAATAAGAGCCGAGTCATGCACGGGTATGAAAAGGAAGCCTGATCGATGACCCGCGGTTTCAAGGGGCAGTTGTAGACTCCGGGGCCGACTCCCAACTCCCAAGTCTACCTAGAGTGGATCACCAGGATTTCAGGCTGTGACCTCATCGGGATTCGGCGATAAAATGCCAGCCAGGTGATAATCGGATTGAGAAACGTTGGGCGTATTATTGGTCAACCACCACGTGGGGATGGAGATCTCGTCGGACCTCGCAGGAGCCCGCACAGCTTACTGAAATAGGAAGGCTCTATTAGTCCCCGCCCGGCCCGGCCATGGTCAGGTCACGGGTTGGGTTGGGGGCCGACTCTGCCTAGTATTGAATGTCAGTCAATAAGTAGTAACTCCTTACCACTATTGCAGTAACTTACACTTCATTCTGTGGTCTCAACGTAGTCAGCTCTTCCTCTTCCCATTTCCTCCCTGCTCATCAGTCGAACGAACATGAGTGACTTCACTCATCCTCCCACATTTCTTATTGTGTGAATTGCTCCCTCCGATCCCGACCGATCGCCTCAGTCATGACCCTGCCTATCAACTGTTCTGACATATCGGGTTAGTGGGCAGTGTGTTCGACACCAACAAGCACGAGATGCGTTATGAGGATGATTTAATACAGCATATACGAGAGTCTTCAGGTTCCATCACTCAAGTCAGATGGGCGCCATGTGTCCAACCAACAATCCAGCAATCTGTGTGCATGCTCCAGTTCCAGTCTCGCGGGTCCCTGGGCTAGATTGGGTCCAAAGACAATTGTCTAGCAACTCCGTGCTAGGGTGGACTATATGAAGCAAATTCGTATGGTTGGGATGGAAGCTTGCGGAGGGCGACAGAATAAATTACGAAGCCATATCCTTGTTCGAGCTGGCGCCCCGGAAATCTGTTCTGCTCCCTTCGTTCTCCGCCAAATCACAGCTGTCGGATTCATCGATACGCAATCCAGCCCAGAGCACAATTCTTGCTACAGCATTTAACAGGTTTGAACTGCATGATAGCTTAAGCAATGATCCGACAAGAGTGACACAATGGATTATCAATCAGGCCATACCCCACCAACCAGCCGAGGTTGGCCAATTGTCCCGCTATCGTCATTGATTTACCCCTCCCGCTCCAGTCTTGATTTATAAGTCGAGAATCGCCCTCTCCTCCCCACTACTCTCAACACCCAAACCTGACACCTGTCAAAATACTGCTACCACAATGCCTCAACCGAATAAAGCCATCATTTTCAGCAAAATCCCCAATGGGGCGCCTGTCCCGGGTACTGATCTCACCGTGGAACAACGGGAGATTGACCTCGACCAGCAGCTGCCTCCGGACAGCGTCCTCACCAAGAACCTTTACGCCAGTCTGGATCCCTACATGCGCGGTCGGATGCGTGACCCCAGCATCAAGAGCTACAGCCCGCCTTACCAGGTTGGCGAGCCGATCACCGCCTACAGCATCGGACAAGTGATCCGATCGGAGAACCCCAAATACAAAAAGGGTGATATTATCTGGTGTATCCTCAAGATCGAGGAGTACAGTGTTGTCACCAAGGAGCAGCTGGCATGGCCCCAGACCGAGAAGATCGATGTGAAGCCTGGACTGTCGCTGTCGCATTACGCCGGAATCCTTGGAATGACGGGTCTGACGGCTTATTCCAGTCTGTATGAGATCGGGCAGCCCAAGAAGGGCGAGACCATCTTCATCTCCTCTGCTGCCGGCGCGGTGGGACAGGTGGTCGGCCAGTTGGCGAAACATGAGGGATTGAAGGTGATTGGCAGCGTTGGTGATGACGATAAGCTGCGGTATATCACTGAGGAGCTGGGCTTCGACGCGGGGTTCAATTATAAGACAGAGAAGCCCGGCGACGCCCTGGCGCGACTAGCACCGAACGGAATCGACATTTACTACGAGAATGTTGGTGGCGAGCATCTGGAAGCGGCCCTCACTGCCATGAACACCTTCGGCAGGATTAGTATGGCCCCCTCCTACCTTCTAGGTCCCTTCGCTGACACGTCATTCAGTCGCTTGCGGCATGGTATCGCAGTACAACTTGAAACCAAACGAGCTATATGGAGTCAAGACCCTGATGAACGTGGTCGGAAAGAGAATCAGGATGCAGGGATTCATCGTCGGAGACGAGAATATGGGCCCGAAGTATGCGAAGGAGAGAAACGAGCGGGTGTCTGCGGTAAGTGACTTGACTGGCTCAGGAGGACCCATTCTGACCCCAGCTATGCTACAGTGGCTACTCGACGGCAGTATCAAGACGAAGGAAGACATCACCACTGGAATTGAGAACGGACCCGAAGCCCTAGTCTCGATGCTTCGTGGCGGGAACCGCGGAAAGGCTATCCTGAAAATCGCTGACCCTGAGTGAACTACACAAAACGAGGGAGTATCTATGCTCCAAGCTCACGCTGTCTAATCACTCCCGCCTATCATATATCTTGTCTTGTAGTACCGAGTACAAATGAGTCTCAAACATGGAGATCTTGCCGTATCCCGCCAACATGACTGAAATCCGAGGGCCTATGATTACCTCATTGCGCCACCATCTGTCGTAGTTCTATCTGAGAAGCCTCAATCAGAGCAATGATATACACTACTAAAAAGCGCATAGCTCAACCATCACCCGGCCACCTCCTTCTTCCCCTTCCCCCTGCACGTGCCCAGCGCTATGGGTGGAACCACCATCCCCGCCAAGCGAGGCGCTAAAACTGGATCCGACGGCCCGGCCAAACCTTATCCGCCCCGGTGCGTTACACAACCGACCGCTGCACGTTCGTAGCCGTGGGCTGTGGGCCCCGCCCGCTTTTGCTGACTCCCGAGGGGGGGGGAGGCATAAGAAGCTTCGAAGCAAAGCCCAGTCCACTCCCTTTCCTGTCAGAATGTGGCTCTTGAGATCCAACGGGCACCACTAGGTCTCTTCGAGTCGTTTGAAGGGGAAAAGGCTCGCCCGCCTGGGGCACTGAGACTGGGATTCTCAGTGCCCTGCTCGCTGGATTTGTCTCAGGGTGTTTCATGCGTGGAGGGTCTCTTGGGATTGTAATGGGCTCTTACTCCGTGAGTGCAGATCTGAGGGTTTGCTTCTGGCTTTGGCGTGGTATCTGCTGAATTTCCGAACTGCGGCCGGGGACGGGAGAGTTGTTCATTTCTTGGTGCGGTTAGGGCAAAGTCACGGTTGGACTCAGTTACCATTTGAAAGTACCCGGGTGAGTATTTGGCTAGGATATGTCTTGTGATGAGATGCGATGTATGGTTCCCCTGCCTTCTAAACTTGTTCTTCGAGAGATGCGCTGAGTGGCTTATACCCTGTTGTCTCAGTAGCTACAAAGCTTGTCAGTGAACGGAGCCCATGTCCTGTACTGTTTAGCGGACATGACATCGCGCCCAAGGGACATCGGCAATGGCGTTGCCTCCTACCTTTTTCTTCATTGAATTCTATCTGCTGTGGAACAGGGTCATTGAAGTAAGAAGTCTCGTGTAGAGCCGCGAATCGGGGTTGAGCGTCGCTCAGGAGAGATCTATGTAGAAGGTACAGTGGGACTGGGGCCTGTCTCGATGTGATAGATTAGGTATGGATTGTCTATGGCACTGTACAGTACAGTTGGTCAAGTAAGATACTCTGAGTTGGGTCTTCTGCCATGGCCACCTTTCCATGTTCTCTTTCTCTCAACACACATGGATCAATGTTGACAGTGATCCAGCACTGTCGATTCAATCCTCCGTATGCGTGCATGTGATACCGCCCGACGTCTGGGGATTCTTGTCCCTCGCTCCACGTTCTTGCTGCGGGCCTCACAATCTTCACCGGGCGGAATTGGTGAACCAGGCGGCAATATCAGTCAAAATATGCCAGAAGCTCTGGTGGTTTTGCACGTATGCCTGCTTTCACAGTTGCCAGGCCATTCTTGGCCCTCCGTGTTTCTCGAGTTTCCTGTCGGCTAGATACACCATTGGGTTCCGCAGGAACTCAACTGCCGCTGTGGGAGGGTCATGAGTCGTCAGCTGTCTGGGTTTCATAAACCATCGCGCATAACAAGAGGAAAACGAATGTTCCAAAGAAAGCAGCACGAGAACAAACGGATGAAAGCGAGTAGGAAAACCTTACCATTCGCAACCAGCTCCGGCTCTTCCAGAGCCAGGTGAAGCCCCTCGTAGTCTACTTCCTCAATATAGGAGGTAGGAAAGAAAGAGCGGATGGCTTCGGCCCCCTTGTCCTCGGGTATGTAGTAGCTATCACGCGAGCGCAGGAACAGCGCCGGCCCGCTGAACCGATTCGCATCGTCCTCCCGGAACGGAAACTCCCCCATCGCTTCGCGGGCCTCCCACAGGATATTCTGCGGGATCCGCGGCCTTACATAGGGGTGATCGTCGTGCTTCTCCAGATTTCGGAGGAGCCAAGGCCGCATCCCTGCCTTCTATTCGGGGAGGTTAGATCAGGGTCATAGACTGGGAGATCAAAGACAGATAGAAAGCATCGATGGGCAATCCCGACGCTCCTGGAGAGCATCATGGGGTAACTGACCCGATTCCAATAGTACATCACTCTGCGCGCCTCTCGGAGCTCGGTAATGCGCATCTTGAGGATTTGCCGATAGGCGTGGAGCCATTGTAAGTAAATCGGCGGAAGGGGTTTCCAGACCGGCGAATTGTCAATGGAGACAATATTGGTCACGAGTTTTGGGTCGTAGAGGGCTAGAGTCATCGCTGTCTTGGCTCCCCTGATGGCTGATCGTCAGGAATCATGAAAAGCTAATGTCCCCTGTTTCGAAGGGTGAGATGACCCACTGGGAAGGCTTACATCTGATTGCCGACAAGAGACACATTTTTGAGGTTGTTCTCTTTCATAAGTCCTCGGATATCCAGCGCCAGTCTGAGGTAGTCATGTCTCCATTTGGTGCCAGATTCGCCATGGTTACGAAGGTCCTGTTTCCCCGGGCGTCAATTGCCTGGGCACGAGGCTGAATGGCTTATTAAGATCCGCACTTACCAGATTATACACATCTCGCTTGAGTTCGGTGGCTAGAATCCTAGGCCGGGGGTTTTGGTGAGTATCCCGTAACATGTGGGATGAGGAAAAGGCTCAAAGCATTCATACTTGCTAATCGGACGGAGTTCCTCTCTACAGCCGAGGAATCCATGAAGAACTATAATTGGGTTTGGTGAGGGCCCAAGCTTATCAGGATGTCCCTTGTAGACATCGAAAGCTATCTTTGGGTTGGGGTTTTTGGCGTCGATACGAATGGACCTCTGGAAGGGCATGAATTTGGAGGACTGTCGGGGCATCGCCAATCTTGACGACGGTGACAGATGTGAAAACATTTTTACAAAGAGCAGCCCTCGCCAGGCGACAAGCACAGAAGTCGATATCAAGTCTCAGATAGAATCCATGCGAGCTATTTCAGAGCTTCCATGTCTCAGAATCTGGTTTGGTGGTTTGTTGAAGCTTATCGATTGATGGATGGATAGGTTTGCATCTGGTTTGCATCTTCATCGAATCCGGAATGTTCTGATTGCGCTAGACCGTATTTGGCTTAGTGCTTCGGTAGTCATCCTAGCTACTATGAGTACTGTAGGTATACAATAACCAAGGTACTGACTACTAGAGCATGCTGAGGTGAAAGGCAGGTGCAGCATTCCTTGTCAAGAAGAGAATTGTTACCTGGTTCGAGGTGAACGTTTCAAATAACTACCAGAGGTCATACTTTGAGGTTCGTAACAGTTTGTGCCCGAGGAGCTTACGGGAAAACCAACCATTCTATTCTCACAAGACCCTACTTGTACTTGAGCAAAGTACGCAAGGACCTGCCTGGTTTGATTGCTCCACCTGATGCGAGATTCTACGTCATCCATAAGATCTTTGAACCTATAGCAGGTCAATTCCATAATATTGTGCTCGGTTAGCCAGCCTGTCTGATGCCGGCATGGCAACATCCGTTTTGAGAGCCAAAACGAATTAGACCAGAGGTCAAATGCAGCGGCTTCAATAGGAGCCAAATGAAGTCGCAACGGTTAACCGGCACATGAGATCAGAGTGAGAATCAAGGCATTGGCGCAAAGACGCCCGCCAGTCCTGCTGATCTCGTCTGCACGGAAGCGACGGCTAGCCCGGACACCGAGTCTTGAATCCATACTTTGACCACAGACCAAATGCGAGATAAGTCGATATCATCGTCCGGTGGTGGGTAGTAGCTGCTGACAGAGACTGGATCCTTGGCTGGCTGCTGCAATGAGTCTGATACGAGTGGTCACGCTCCTGCTCGTATCGCCTGCTATCTGTGAAACATTGAAGACGATTATCCAATTGAGTTCTGGATGGTTGGTTCGAGCTTGGTGTTTACTGCGCAAAGAGGGCTGGGATATCGCTGGGGACAATATTCTAGTCAGCAAGGGCTCGCAGAGCGTCTGGATCTGGACGTCGGCTTGTCCTGGATCATGCCTTGCCGAAATGTCAGGATTTGATGCAGATTCAGGCAGGGGCTGGGGGCAATCCTCGAAAGTGGAGGTGGAGCGCCATGTTCGAATTGGTGGAATTTCGCAGACTAAATGAACAGTCAACGGATCTGTGAGCGAATGGTATCAGTATGGAAGTACGGGAAGGTGCGACGTCGGGGTAGGTTTGGGGGTCTGAGGAGATGATCTCCATGGGCAGGATGGGCAGGTGAGAGGCGGACTGAATCTGGGGATGGAATGGAAATTCATGGGGACAAATCGGCAATTGGAAGGGAGACCTCGATGCCGGACCAGTCGGCAATTGCTGCAAAGCGGAAGAGCCGGGGCAGCTGAGTCACCATTTCCGACAGCTCTCATTGGATTCAACTGTCGAGCTCGCCTCTATAGAGTGGGCACTAAACCCAATGGGAGGTAGCGTGGCCCGGAAACCGGTCGCTGGGAAACTCGCGGCGGAGTCTCATTATTATTTCTCTCAGTGCTGCAACCCCAGACAGAAACATCATTATTGTATGTATGGAGTATGGAGTATGTTGTTTGCTCCTCTCGAGCCAGGATGAAGATGCACCTGGTGCACCTGATGCACCTGATACTTGGCCATTCAATTGAAAGCTGATCACGGTTCCACATGACCCTAATCCCCCTCATTTCTCCCCTCTCTCGGTGGCTCTTTCTGCGGAGGCTTGGAGGCTTGAGATGCCAGAAGATTACCACCCGGCCCACCCCTTCATCCCCCCCCCTTAGACTATCCGTGACTCTGACTCTTCTCTCTCCGCCCTCTCCGGTCAAAAATGGGGATTGCCAAATGTTGGTTCATCTCCATTCCGCGGTGAATGGCAGGTTTCGTCTGGTGGAGAATGCTCGCCTTAGGGAGATGTCGCGTCCTGCCGCCAATCCCGGCCTCCCCCCAGCCAGACAGAGCTCTCACAAAATAATCATGTTTGACCCAGCTTCGTATAATCCCGCTCTCGGCCGTGATTCCCCAGTGTGTCAAGATCGGAGGGAGGTTCGGATCGATGAGGTTTAGGGAAGGAGGTGTTTGTTTGCCTTGAAACGCATTCTTATATCAACCGCAACAGCTCCTCCCCATTCCTGACCCTACCCTGTGGCAAACCAATTCGTTGCCCCAGATTTTGTACGGTACCAAATTTGGCTCCTATATCGGATATCGGCGCCTCCAGCCAGCGCAAATTTTTATCAAATTAAATTCTCCTTTTTTTTGCCCGTCTTCCTTCCTTCTTCCTTCCTTTCTTTTGCTATCCTTTGTATCAATATCCGAGATAACCATGGCATTTGCGCAGGCCAGGACTCCCCTTGAGGTGATCATCGTTGGGTAGGTTATTCATCCATTTCCCGCTGTCGCGCTGGAATTGCCACTAACATCGTTCAATAGAGCGGGTACGCCAAGATGATTCTTTTGGCAAGAAGATTGCATTGTCGCTGACAGACGTAGGCATTGGCGGCATGGCCGCAGCCCTAACTCTGGGTCTACGAGGACACCAGGTCACGATCCTGGAGTCCGCGCCTAAGGTATGCCAGTATTGATATAGACCTGGTCATGTTGAGTTTTGCTCTAATAACAAGGCAAAATAGCTTATGGAAGTTGGAGCGGGCATCCAAGTCTCTCCTAACATGCTCCGATTGTTTGATCGTAAGCATCAATTCTGTGGCAGTCGGAATGCTCGAACTGACACAGAACTCTAGGCTGGGGTGTCTCTCCCTCCATTCACGCCAAAGATGTTGCCCTCGAGCACATCCACGTTCGTCGGTGGCAGGACGGCTCGTTACTAGGCACTATGCCCGTTAACAAGACTTACGGTCAACAGGTGGTCATCCACCGCGCGGACCTCCACAACGCACTCATTGACCAAGCGCTGGCGCTGTCAAATGTGGAACTGCGCGTCAACTCCACGGTCACCGATGTTCAATTCGACCAGGCAGCGGTGACGCTCGCAGACGGCACCGTCGTCAAGGGCGACGTTGTCATTGCGGCGGACGGCATCAAATCCGGCATCCGGGGTCAGCTCCTCAACGACTACTCCTGCAAGGCCATCCCCACGGGCGATGCCGCCTACCGGATCATGCTTCCTCGCAGCGCGCTCGAAAGTGATCCCGAGTTGAAGGCCCTGATGGACGAGCCCCAAGCCACGCGTTGGCTCGGCCCCAATCGCCACATCATCGCGTACCCCGTGCGCAACCACGAGCTCTACAATGTCGTGCTGCTGCACCCCGACAGCCACGGCGTCGAAGAGTCCTGGACCACCAAGGGCTCCAAGCAGGCCATGATCGACAACTACCGGGGCTGGGACAGTCGCGTGACGAAGCTCATCGACCTGGTGCCCGACGACGAGGTTCTCGAGTGGAAGCTCTGCCTGCACGCGCCCTTGAAGACCTGGATCCGGGGCAACGTCGCTTTGATTGGCGATGCCTGCCATCCGATGCTGTACGCCCATCGCCCCGCGCTACCACACACGTTCCCCTTTCCCACCCAAGTCACTTCACTAACCCCCAAAAACTAGACCCTACGTCGCCCAAGGCGCCGCGCAAGCCGTCGAAGACGCCGCCGCGCTCGGCATCCTCCTCTCCACCATCCCCTCGCGCGCCGCCATCCCCGCCGCCCTGCGCGCCTACGAGCAATCGCGCAAATCCCGCGCCGAGACCGTGCAGCAGTCCGGCTCCGAGAACCGCATCACCCTGCACTTCCCCGACGGGCCCGACCAGATCGCCCGCGACGAACAGTTCCGGACCGCGCTGACCAGCGGCTCCAACCCCGATCGCTGGTCCGATCGCGAAACCCAGAGACGTCTCTGGGGGTGGGATGCCGAGAAAGCCGCCCTGGACGTGTGGAATGGTAAGCTTCGCCCGCCGTCTCAACACAAATCCCTCTCCCGCGGAGGAAGGCACTAACACCCCGTGAATAGAAATGCATGGCGACGTCGTCTCGGAAGTCCGTCACCATCTCTAAGCCTTTGCCTTCAAACAAACTCTAAACCTTAACGTCTCATCGATTTCCCCTCATCTCCTGTCTCAGGCTATGATGTGAAAGCTTTTTTCAACCACGGATGATACCTAATGTCTTCAACGGCCTTACTCTTAATGATTCAACCTCGTTTTTTTCCCCTCTTTTTGTCATCGACGATTACGCCCCTATTTGGATTTTTTCTTTATTTCAGCGGGTTTTCATGTGGATTCTCAGCGACTTCAACTCAACTTGATTTGTCGTATACCCCCCTTTGTTTCTTCTTGTTTGATTTATGTGGGTTTTGTGGGCTTGAAGGACGTGTTGGGCTCGGCTCTGGGGGTGCATGTTTTGTATATAGACTTCTTGCGTGGCTTATAGATTTGCTGTGTTTAGTGGCTGGCTTAAATTATTCTGGTGCAGTGAGTTAGTACATTACAGTAATAAATCTGTGTCAAGTGATTGCCCGGCGCGATATGTGGTTAGATTTTTCCAGAATGAGTCGTTGAATGGCAGTGCCACTGTACTAAGCTGTCGCTCAGAAAGACAAACAGCGCATATAGTATACTCTAATGCTCTATCATGACTATACTTATATTCAACACAGCCAAACACTACGGTAGATAGCAGGACTAAGAATGTACACAACAACCCCCGCCGGACACTGGATGTGTGATCAGCGACAACCTCACCAAATCCGCTTGGCGACCATCTCATACCGCTGCACGTGATCCAGATGCAGCTCCTCCTTGCCACCACCAGCCTTCGCGTCCTTCTCCTCCTTCGCTTTGAGTCTCCGCAGACCATCCGGGTCATCGGCGTAGATCCACCGCCGGTGATCGTCGTTCACCTCGACGACGCCCCATCCGCCGACTCGACGGCTCCCCTCGACGGCGAATTCGCGGGGGCGGGGCTGTGCTGCTGCTGCTGCTGCTGGCGCGGCAGCCGGGGCGGTGGTTCCGGAGGGAGCGGGATCGGTTGTAGTAGTGGCCGTGGGCCCTAATCCGCCGACCGTGGAGGAGGTTGAGGCCGGGACGGCGGTGGGGTGGCTTTGCTGTTCTGCCTCGCGCAGTTTCATGGCCTTGTAACGGGAGCGGGCGAGCGCGAGCAGGAGCATGCCGAGCAGTAACTTGAGGATCAGGAGGACGACGTAGCCGGTTAGGATGAGGACGACGGTGAAGATGTAGACGGATGAGGCCGGGGTGGGCATGGTGTTGGCGAGCATCTGGCGGAACCAGGCCCCAGCGTAGGCGGTCGAGGTGGGGATGAAATTCTGGAAGGTGAGCGGGGGAGGGGAGGGCATGGGCACGGGGACGTATTGACTGTGGATGGCCGTGAGGGAGGTGGCTTCGACCGCGGTGGACGAGGCGGGCTGCTGGGGGAGTAAGGCAGCGATGAACATCTGGTAGGTCTGGACGCTGACGCGGAAGAAGAGGCAGGATAGTGGGATCACGGGCAGTCCGAGCCGGCGCATGAGGTTTTGGTCCGCGAACGCATTCGTGTAGTAGTCCTTCGCCAAAATGTCCAGGAAGCGACCGTAGATGGCCGGACGGGTGTTGTTGAACTTGTTGATGTACGCGTGCTTGAGCCAGTCGACTAGCATTTCCGAGCCCAAGACGACGAGGAAGGGTCCTAGGACTTGCGCCAGCGTCGGAAGGTAGGAATTGGCTTGGCTGAAGGAGGCGATGATAGATGACGGGACGATTGTGAAGGCCTGCGGGAGGATCGAGGATGCAGTTCGTGGTGGAGTCGACAGCGGCGTGCTGTTGGTGCTGGTTGAAGTGAAGCTAGAACCCAACCCACTGAAGATATTAAATGCCCCAGTTTCCACAATGTTGCGCGATGCGATGATCGTCAGCATGAGCCAGAGTTGAAAGCGTTCTACCACGTCCGCGCAGGTGAGCTGAAAGAGGTTCTCCTTTTCGAATTTTTTGAAGACCGTGGACTTGATCTCGACAAATTGATTGGAGAGCAACAGGGTGATCAGCGCATTGGAGTAAGAGTTCACCGCAACGTTCAGCGTCATCACCTGATAGAACAGTGCTGTCGAATGGATGACTGTGTAGCCTAACGCTAGCAAGAAGAGCCCAAACGGGCGGAAGACCTTGCTGCGGCCGTCGGGTCGCCGCTCCAGCGCTTCACGCGAGAATAGGCACTCAAGCACGTCCTGACCGATGGCGCCAAACAGTCGATCGCTGACTTCTAGCACATTGTAGATCACGTACAACTTGATAGCTGCCTGTCCGCGAATCCAGTGGTACATCCGGCTCGCATCGAAGCGCATCAGAACGCAGCAGGTAGCGATCATGAGCAATCCCTTGAGGATGTCGGCCTTGTCGTCTGGCATTAGGGCTGACGGGATACTCTTCTGCCGCCGATGCTGCGCTCGGTGACCATGAGATCGGTGCCTTTTTCGAGACTCGGTTGCCTTAGCGCGGGAATCTCGTTCCCCGGGTGCTGTTTCGCCCTTGTGTGTGCGTCCCACGTCGGAGCCACGCGGTGGCTCGTCGATGGATACGGTCCTGTTACGCCTGCGCCATACCCGGCCCACGCCTTTGATCACAAAACCAGCCACGTACCGAAACTCCACTCCCAAATTTAGAATCCATGACTCAACGAGTATGTACAGAGCCTTCAGAAACCGGAGCGGAAGAATGGTAAAAGAATGCAACCACGCATCCAGACATGCCAATATACCGAACCAGAGTACCTGCTCTACCGCCGGCGGCAGCATCAAGAAATTCATGAGTCTTTCAAGCTTGACTCGAGAAGACTCGTAAGGGAAGTCGGTCATAGCAGAACGGTGAATGTACAGCGGTGAGGGGCGGCCCGATGCCAGCTCTAACTGGAGGTAAGTTGGAACGGATAGAGGCGGCAGAGGGATGTTCGGGGGCATCGGTGAAGGCAAGGCCTGTTCTTTCATCTGTGGGGAAGGTTCAAGGTGTTTCGAATCCGATTCCCGAGTAATCGAAAGGCGATCTTGTTTTGTGCGAGACGCCCATGTCTGAGCCAGCCTGTCATTCGTCGCCGGCAAGGTCTGTCGGCGTGAGTTAGGTGTTGACACCGCCCGTGAGTTTAGTGGTCGATTTCGCGAAGAGGATGACGCAGGTGTTCTCCCAGTCGAGACGGTCGAGGTGTCGATGGATAGATCTTTGGGCAGACGGAGTTTAGGTAGAGTATCGGATGTAAATTTAGGTTCATCCACAGACGGCAGGCTTGTGGGCTCTGGCGTTTCAAACTGCGCAGCTGCTGCATGCAATCCATCCGATACTGCCCGTCGTCCGCGTTCTGATTGCTCCGGTGGCGCTGCACGATACGGGATAGACTGCGGTGAGGATGTGAGTTCCTGCATCTTGGCGGGAGATAATTTCAGCACGCGATCTGGGTCCTTGTCGTGGTTCCTGGAAGGCGATGTGTCTCGCGACCACTCGGTGAGCGTTGATTGCACTGCGGAGCCTTCGAAGACATCCACTAGGGATGATCTGGAAGTCGTGCGACGGCCTGGGGTTCGAGGGGGCTCCTCCGAGTGCTCAAATACCATCCCTAGCACTTGATCCGACGCCAGCGCGAACTGACCGCTTTTCCGGTCGACGCAGGGGGTATGTTGGCTGAGGATTCCGTTAGAATCGTGTTCAGAGTTGTCACCGACTCCATCTGGCAGCAAGTTGGCCCTAGAATTAATCCGGTTGGCGTAAGTCGCTGTAGTGTCCGGCGCCGGCGTTTGTCCGCATTGCGCATCGGAGCCCACCACGGGCCGTTCGTCAGTCTCCACGGGTTGATTCACACCACTCGAGGCTGTTGGTCGCTTTGTTTTTGGTGACTTTGGGCTTTGGATTCCAGCGGCCAATGCATCATCAGCTTCTGGGCTTTGTGGTGTTGCTGGTGTCCATTCCTGCTGAGACGAGCCTGTCGCCTCGCCGTTAACGAACTCCCGCCCTCGTTCGTTGTGACTTTCACGCATGCCGTCTATATTGGCTACCGTTCTTGGCGAGTCATTGCGTATAGATCTTGAATCAGCCGCTAGATCTGCGTCGTCTTCTGTGCGGAGCATTGAGGAAACCAGGGTCGCAATCGAGGAAGGCAAGGACACGATGTCAGCGGTAGCGCTCCGTGCGCAATGCAATCGGTCAACCGTGCTTTAAGGAGGGTTCAACTTCATTTCGGGGTCAGATAGTCCAGTGCAAAGTCGCTGTTACAGCCTACGAGGCAGGCCAAGGGTTGCGACCGTTGATAATGAGGATAAAGCGAGTCAGGGTCTTTGCTGAATGACTGGATGATAGAGCAAGCCAAGGGAGAGCAAAAGCCCGGGGACAATCATGAGGCGGTCAACAAAGCGGTGGGGTGGGCCGGCTGTCATTGTAGCCCATGACTAAGCAGGGTCTTACTTCCCCACAATCTTGGTCTTGTCTCGACTGATCGTTCTCTTCTACAAATCAATCACTCACGTTTCCTGGTGTTCCCTCTGCTCAATTGATCTTAGATTGGATGTATGTCTGATCTCATGAATGGTTCATGAGCCCTGATCTCAAGCATAATTTGTTGTGTTATGCTCTCATTGTCAAAGTCCTGAGTTCCCACCTTCTATACTACCGATCTTGATCAATAACCACCACCAATTCGACTCCTTCAGGATGCCATCCATGCCATGCTGCTCCAGCCAGCAATTCAAACCATGCGCACCCCTTAATTGAGAGAACCACAAGCGACACTATACAATTAGCTGTCAAGACCCGCTCACCTCAGCTTCTATAGTAAATAGCCGAGGGGGGCGTTTCCTGTGTCTGTCCCTGAGCAGGAGTTGAACATTGACGCTAGTCACCTCGCCATCGACGGCAAGCATGGCGTGCTCCTCCACCACAATCACCTTCTCCCACCCTGGTTCTGCCCTGTCATTTGCAGCCATCAACCATGAGAAGGCTTGGGCCACGAGCTCCTCCGATCCAGGGCGTGGCCATGTGGGTACCAATCCAGTGAATTCTGCTTTTCTCCCCCGATGGTGTCATCGGCTCTTCCGGATAGTTAATGATGGCCAGCCAATACTGGCGCGCGATGGTCTTGAAGGCCTGGACATCTTGCGATAAGCGAACTTTTTATCACGTAGCTCCGCATGTCATTTAATGAAGGCGCGCTCGAAATGACTCTTCCGGGTTGAAGGATTTTTATTCTACGCGAGCAGTCGTCCCCTCTTCTTCCTCACTCTCCCCCTTGAAGCAGCTTCAAGTAAGAACTTGCTTCACTATCGACCTGAGATTCTCCTCGTACGAGCACAGCCTGGCTAGTTTTGGCGACGATGACGATTGCATCGGCCAGCTCAGAGACCTTGAGGGCGGATAGGAATGTGGATGAGACCACCCCCCTGAATCCAGCAGCTTTGGATACAAATGTCACGAATGTATCGAATTACCAAACTGTCTCCAAGGGGCCAACAAGTGATGTTCAAAGCAGCCATGACACGGACGAAGAACGTCCGCTAGTCAGTCCAGCAGAGTCCTCGGAGAACAACAAAGTGCAGGCGTTGGCTAGCGTCAAGACAATTATCGCTGTTTTACTACTGGG